CAACTATGAGCCCAGCTTCAGGAGGCCTGGCACACAGGTGTCTTCATGTGAGTGTTCACACCCAGCATCTGTTTTAGCCGCTGTGCAGGATAAGGTGGACCTTCGAGGATACACGGTATGGAGCGTGATGGACAACTTCGAATGGGCCATAGGCTTTGCAGAAAGGTTTGGTGTGCACTTTGTGAACCGCTCAGACCCTTCTCTGCCAAGGATCCCCAAGGCATCAGCCAAGTTCTATGCCTCTGTAGTGCGCTGCAATGGCTTTCCTGACCCTGCACAAGGACCTCACCCTTGTCTCCAGCAACCAGAGGGTAGGTGTCGCTGGGAGGGACCAACACTGTGTGGTAAAGGGTGAGAGGAAGCTGTCCTTTCCACCTGCCTTCCTCTAGTTCCTGGCCTTCTCCTGCCCTTCTGTCCCCTCCATTTATAAGCATGCACTCCAGGTACCTTTAGGCTGCTGCAGGTCTCTCCAGAGCCTGTTTTACCCCAGAGACTGGGCCCTGCTGTGGGAAGGAGCAGAGGTAGATTCCTCCAGTCCTACCTTGAAGTCGCTGTTGCACCTTTTTTGAGAAGGACAGAGGCTTTCGGGCAGTTTCTAGGTTGATTTTTAAGGCTTGTATAAACAGTACAGCCAGTACTTACTGGGAAACTAAAAATTACACGTGGCTGTGATACTACCCAGTATCACACAAACAGCATACAGTCGCATAGCCCTGCAGTCTGAGCATCTGAGTGGTAGAGGCAGTAGAATTTGAAGTTTAAGGTCATCCATGGCTACCTAGCTAGTTTGAGGACTTTCTGGGCTACATGACACCAGTCTCAGGGGAAAAAAGGATGTGTGCCTATGGGGAGGGGCACAGTGAGAAAGCTCTCTGGAGTGAGTTCTATACTAGGAGTACAAAGTGGAAAGTGTCCTCTTGAAGGTTGTCCTCTGCTGCTACATGAACCTCATGGTGTGCACATGTAAAAAGACAACAAAATAGTGAAAGGTGTCCATGCTGACAGCACAGCGATTAGCTTTCCTTTGCTGTGTTTGTTTGAAAGGAGGCTATGCAGCCTCTGGACTGTAGAATCAGAAGGACCTTTCCGGAGCTGTGACAGTGCCAGAGCCTGATCCCCACTGTCCTCTCCTAGATGCTGCCAGCCCTGTGAAGACAGAAGTGCCCTTCCTGGGGCTGATGCTGGGCATCACAGAAGCACAGACAGCATTGTATGTGCTCTTTGCTCTTCTGCTTCTTGGAGTCTGTAGCTTGGTGTTTCTGTTGTACAAATACTGCAAGCGCTCCAAGCAACGGGAAACACAGCCAAGTCAACATGACCTGAGTCCAGTGTCCTCCTTCTGACAAGTTACCAGCTCCTCAGTTGTGCAGAGAAGCCTGGGTTCTTTAGACAGGCCTGCTAGCACCAACTCATGCCACAATGCATGTCCTTGTCAATGCTTCCTGCATTGTGGGAGATGGTTTCCATCATGAAACTTTTTAAGTTCTTAGTTGAAATGAAAGCATCTTCAATATGGGAATTTTGGACTCTGAGAAGCCTGCAAGGTCCCCTGTGGGCATGCAGAGACTCCGAACTAAATAAGTAGAAGTGAAAAGGAGGTCTGTGATACTACATGCCTGTTTATAATCCTCGCACTCAGGAGGCAGAGGCAAGAGGCAGGAGGGGCTCCAGTTTGAGGCCAGTCACTACCACACAGTGAAGCCCTGTTTGGGGGTGAGAACGAACAGGGGTGGAGGCAGTAGGGATCAGGTACACAGATAGCATGATGGAAAAATGCATGCCTATTAGACTCAAAGATCTGGGTTCAATTCCTAGCCCCTCACCCCCAGTGTTTGGCTAACTTAAAGACTGATATGTGGTTAGAGAGATGGTTCAGCAATTAAGAGCACCGGCTGTTCTTTTAGAGGACCTGAGTTTGATTCCCAGTTCCCACATGGCAACTGTTCCCATAACTGTGGGAAACTCCAGGTCTTGGGGATCCAACACCCTCTTCTGGCCTCCTTGGAAACCAGGCACTCAAGTGATGTATAGACAGACATACTGGGAAAATACCCATACACAAAAACAATAAAATTTAAAAATAAGTGAGTGATTACATCAGAAGTTTGGTTTCTTTTTTTATTTTATTTATTTATTTATTTATTTTTTATTGAAAAAAAAATTCCACCTCCTCCCAGCCT